TACTTACACAAGTAATATGTGAATATATTATCATTGTGAAAATTCAAACCTTACAGAGAAAGTGGTCCTCGAGCAGTTTCCAAACCTCACACACACACACACACACACACACAACATATGTACACACACGTTTTGTTGCACATTTTTAAAATAAATAATACAATTTTATGTAGCATAAATCTATGGAGTATGAACATGTAGAATGAAGAAATACTGCCAAATTATTTCTGGAAGTGGCTGTATCCATTTCACCTTGTTACTACATCAATTACAAACAGTTCAGAAATGTTTGTCAGCATGATGGGCGAAGAATGGCATCTCACTTTTAATTTGTATTTCTGGGACTAGTAATGAGGTTGAGTGGCTGGAGGACAGCCTTTGCCCATGTGCTTGCTTCTGAGTAGCTTGCTCACATTCTTTGCACAGTATTCTGTTTTCTGTTACATTGTTTGTTTTACTTGTTTCAGTCAAGTAAGGTAGTGTTTTGCTGATTTTTAGGAATTAAAAAAGGATAATTCTGGATATGAATCCCTTGTGTTTTAGTGTGTTACCTATCATGTGACTTTTAATTATCTTTGTTGTACAGAAGCTCTAATTTTTGGTGCCCTCAGTTTTACCAATGGTTGGGCGGGGTATGTTTTATAATTTTGTCTCCTAAAGGTCTTCCCTAACCCAAGAGTTTATATATGTTTATGAGCTATTCTGCTTTTGTAGTTTTGTTTTTGTTTAATCTGTTTGGATTTTTTGGTTTTGTTTTTTGTGAACAGAGTAGGGTAGGCCTCTAGCTTACCTTTCTCCAAATGGATAGCTAGTTGTGCTGGTCAGGGGAGTGACCTAGCTCCCATGAAGCTCCCCACATCCCCACAGTGGAGCATAAAGAAAACCAGGGGACTGCCCTGCTGGCTCAGTCGGTAGAGCACGCGACTCTTGATCTCAGGGTTGTGAGTTCGAGCCCCATGTTGGGTGTAGAGAGTACTTAAAATAAATTAATATTTTAAATTAATTAAAATGAATAAATAAACTAGAAAAAAGAAAAGAAAATCAAGAAAGGTACTCAGGACCCCAGTTTGTTCTGCTTCAGTGCACGGCCCTCCTAGGAGGGGATGGGTGGAGGATGGCATTGGGGGTGGTTGTGGTCCTGCCTGGATGTCACGGTCTTCACTGCTGCATGGCCTGGTCACCACGGGGCTGGGAAGGGGAAGTCCAGCTGCGGGCTCAGGATGAAGGGGGAGAGGCAGGGGTGAGCCCTTCACGTCAGCCCTGTGCGCTGAACTGGCTCATTAAAGGTAGAGTAGCTTGGTCATGTCCTTAGTCCCTGTGCGGGCCTGCTCCTCCATTCTTCACTCTGGTTTCTTTTCTTTTTTTTTTTTTTTAATATTTTATTTATTTATTTATTTATTTGAGAGAGAGAATGAGAGAGAGAGAGCATGGGGGGGGAGGGTCAGAGGGAGAAGCAGGCTTCCCGCTGAGCAGGGAGCCCGACACGGGACTCGATCCCGGGACTCCAGGATCATGCCCTGAGCCGAAGGCAGTCACCCAACCAACTGAGCCACCCAGGCGCCCCTTCACTCTGGTTTCTTTCTTTCTTTTTATTTATTTATTTTTTTGAGAAAGAGCGTGAGAGAGCACGAGCAGGGGGAGGAGCAGAGGGAGAGGGAGAAGCTGGCTCCCTGCTAAGCATGGAGCCCAATGCAGGGCTCAATCCCGGGACCCTGGGATCATGACCTGAGCTGAAGGCAGATGCTTAACCCACTGAGCCACCCAGGCGCCCCTCTTCTCTGGTTTCTTAGCCATTTGGTACTGTTCTGTCCACCCTGTTTTAATTACTCTGGCCTTGTAAGCATATCTTGCCATCCGGAAATACAAGTGCCACCCCTTATTCTTTTCCATTTACTTCTTCAGAGTGGACAGTACATCTCATGATTCAAAAATACAAAGGAGATGAGCATTTCAGTTTCATCCCGAGCCTCCTGAAGTGGCTGTGCCCACTCCTGTTTCCCTGTCCTCCTGCATACCAGTATGATGGGGGCGCGGGGCAGGAGCCTACCCCAGGCATGGCTCATTTCATCCACATGCACCCCTGTGAGGCAGACACCTGGGGCCCCTCGTCTTCATAGGTGGGACAGGGAAGTTAGGTCACGTGGCCAGGCCCACGGAACCTCACCAACACCTGAGGCCCTCACCCTTGAGCATTTGGGGCCATCTGATGAGTCGTTCCTGCAGGGGAAGCCCGTCAGTGCCCATTTGGAGGGCGCGGTGGGAGGGCTGGAGCAGGGGCTTGCTGTGGGCACCGTGCAGCAGTCGGAAAACATGGGCACACAGCTGTGCACTGATTGGATCTAAAACTTACCATCAAGAGACCCAAAGCTGCAGAACAGTGTATACAGGTGGTGCTGTATAATGGTGCTGTTAAAATGTTGTCCTCAGGCCTTTGGGTTTCCCTGCGTGCACACGTATGTACATCCTTGCCTAGGAAGAGGGCTGGAGGGGTTCTTACACCCATGAGAGCACCTCTCTGCAAGGAAGGGAGGGTCAGAAGTGTGGAGTGCACTTATCTGACACTTGTGGTTGCTACAGGTGTAGTCCCACCGCTCCTCACCCCGAGCCTCCTAGATTCTCCTCTGGGAGCCTGGAGGGCCCTCCATCCTCCGTGTCTCGCTCCCCTCTGTGCATTGCCTGTCTGCACCCATCTTCTAGGAGGGGTGGCAGGAGGCTCACGACCACAGGGGCTCATTTGCATTCCCAGCACCTGGCTTGGAATGTCACTCTTGGTAAGGGCCCTGGTACTTTTCTTCTGGGACCATGCAGTTTGGTTCTGGTGGAATCGCAGTCGGCTGCCTCCACCCCCTTCTCCTGAGACACCGGGCTACCTCCTGTCTCTATCAGTTTGTCTTGCCTGTTCTAGAATTTCATAGACATAGAATCATATGGCTTAGTAAATGCTGTAGTGCACACACGTATGTATATGCACACAGACCATAAGCTTCCAGCTCCGTGCATTCTTGCTGCCCGATCAAGGGATATCCCAGCACCCCACAGCCACTTGTGTCTCCTCCCACTTAGCCTGGCTACCCCCATTCCCACAGGTAACCCCTCTGCTGGCCTCTGTCACCATTGATTAGCGCTTGGACTTCACCTAAAGGAACCATGGAGAAGGACTCTCGCATCGGCCACATGATTCTGGCAGCAGCAGCTGGCTTGCCCTCATTGCTGTGGAGTAACCCTTTATGGGACCACAGAGTATTCATCTCTTCTGTTGTTGGGGACATCTGATTTTCCACTTTGGGGCTGTTGAGCAAGGATCTAGAGGCAGTGTGGCCGAGCTCTACTTGATGAATGTCCTTGTGTCCGTGAAGCTGAGATTTAAGACTGTCAGCTTAGGAGCTTTTGGCCCTGGAACAAACATGTTTGTTTTGTTTTGTTTTCAGTTCCTTCCCAGTGCTCCTACATGAGATAGGTGAAACCAGGATTAGAACTTGCTTTTATAAACAGGTCCTACCATGAGGTGTGGAGTGTGAGTCTCCCTGTAGGGGCCACAGAGAAGCATATTAAGAAGGCAGATTAAATGATGCTTTCATCGTTTGCAGTCATCCTCTGTGTTCTGTGGGTACACGTGTGCCACTGGGCCTTGGGGAGGTCTGGCATACTCGGCTCCCACGGAGCTGTCTGGCTTTTCCAGTTCTTACCTAATTGTCCTTCTTTCTCCTTCATTTCCTTTTCCAGGCTGAAAAGTCTTCCACTAAGGAGGCAGTAATTGAACTCCACCCTGGCCAGGTCTCCTCCATGATGGAAGCTCATCGACTGCTCGCTTAATACATTGTACAGATTGTATTTATATGTAAATTCATGCTGTAAAATAATTTTTAAAACCTTGACATTTCAAAGGCTGCCTTGGAAGGTTGCAGAAATTGATTTCTATTTTTAACTTCGGTTAGTGTCAGAGGAAACAATTCAGACTGTACAGTTTAATTAAAATGGAATTTTTCTATTTTCTTCTTGATTTTTAATTTCCTGAAACTTTTAAAAAGAAATGAAAAGTGAAATGTTTTCTCTGATTTTGCTCATGAAGAAAGCCGAGTCCAGATAAGGACAGTTGGACTTAATTAAGGACTTGTAAGAGTGAAGGAAGTTGTTGTTTCCCCATTCCTCAGGCACCGGGCTCCTGCCTCTCCTGGTGCATGGTGGTGGCCAGGAGCCCAGTGGGCGGTCCAGTGCCAGGATCCTAGCAGGTGGCCTCAGCCTTTTAGGGAGGATGTCACCAAAGTGTCCCAGACAGTTTCTGAGACCAAGCGCCGGAGAGTGTGCACCCACAGCCCAGGTCACACAGGCTCCAGGTCCTTGCTCTGCAGCCCTGGTTCCCCGCTCAGGAGCTGCCTCATCATCACTAATGAGACCTTTGAGAAAAGTTGCAGGGGTTCAGAGTGACAGCATAGAAAGATCAGAAGGATTTCCAAAGTAGAAATAACGAAGAAAACCACTTCTACTTCTACCATCCAGAGATGATAACCCTTAGTATTTGGGAATATCTACCCATCTTCTTTTTTTTTTTTTTTTTTAAGATTTTATTTATTAGAGCGAGCGAGAGAAGAGAGCACAGGCAGGGAGAGCTACAGAGGGAGAGGGAGAAGCAGGCTCCCTGGGACTCATCCTAGGACCCTGGGATCATAAGCGGAGCGGAAGGCAGACGCTTAACCGACTGAGCCACCCAGGCATCCCCCCACCCAGTCTTTTTCTATCGGTGGGGCTGCCACCCGACTAGAGGTGACATTCGTTCTCTGTCATTGACATTGTGACAGGTATTTCCTTCATGCTGTTATATATTGTGTGTCCCCACTCCCGACAGCTGCATCTGAATTCATCCAGGGCCCATTCTGTAACTCAGTGACCATTTCTCTGTTGTTGTCACGAGTCGGTTGGCCAGGAGCCCCCGCACAGGCAGAGGGCACACAGAAATCGTCCTGGGAGAGGGAGCCAGGAAGACCCAAAAGGAGGCCGCGGGGATGGGGCTGCTGGTTTCGCCCGCTTGGCCTCAGTCCTTTTGTGCCCAGGGCTCAAGCCCAGTTTTTCTGGGAGTAAGCGCGCCCCGCGTGGAGCGGAGACAGGGAGATCGCAGCGCCCGCAGAGGGCACGTCAGCCCCCGGAAGCGGCCGCAGGGCGCAGGCGCGCGGGGCCACCGTTCGCAGCCGCGCCCGGGTGCTGGGTGCTCGCCACCGTTCGCGGCCCGGCCTGGGTGCTGGGTGCCGGCCACCAGCAGGCCAGGCTCCGAGATGGCCTCCCAGCCGCCGTGCGCCCCCTGCTCCCCAGAATGCCTGGACGAGGACGGGAAGACAGTGTCCCAGCTGCGTAGCGTGCAGCTGCCCTCGGTCCTCTCCAGCGACCTTGAGCAACTGTTCCATAAACTGCCCGACGTGGCTCTGATCAGGGCCTATGGCCGCTTCAGGCTGTCGACGTTGGAGGCACACCAGGACCCGCTGCTGGCTCCCTTTGACCCCCTGGAGGTCAGCAAGGACTCACCACCACCCCAGGAGCACCCGAAGCCTGAGAAGAAGTTCTGGGGCGACCAGGAAACCCTCTCCAAGGTCAGACTACGGGGGTGGGGGTGAGGAACGCAGACTTGAACCTGGTATGTGGGGAGGTCGCAGTGAGCGGGCTAAGGAGAGCCGTGGGGAGCCACTTGGTTTTGCCAGGGCCCCCCGAGTGAAGCCGCTGGGCTGCTGTCCCTGGGAAAACAAGGCTGTCCTGGGGGAGGACAGTGTTTCAAAGTGGGGGATCCTGACCCCACCCAGACTGATTTCTGGCCGAGCCTCCCAAACGTCCCCAGGTGACATCCCCAAGTGCATACCCCAGGGTCAGTGAAGGAGCCCTCCGTACCCATGAAACAGTTTGCTCCAGAAACAACAGAAAACCTAGAAGAAAGAAAAGAAAAACAAAAAAAACACAAAACACCCCCCCCCCCAAAAAAACCCCTGTCAACACTACTTTGTCTTCTCTGTGATACTTGAGAGACATTGCATTAAAACAAAGGCTGGTGGCTGGGAGTAGGAAATAATCTGTGAACGGAGAGAATTCCTGGGGATGAAGAAGGATTTCCTAACCAAAATCCTCCACAGAGGCTTTAAAATCAGAGCAGAGAACTGAAACAGAAAATTAGAAAACAAAGCTCATGGGATACTCTGAGACCCAAAGAACAAATGTAAAGAAAGGATCGATGACCTTGAGAGAAAAGGTAATGTGTGCCAGAGAGATCCAGAAGAGCCGATCTACACAGAGGAGGTGTTGGAGAGGAAGAGGGAGCAGGGGGAGGAAAGAAAGAGAAGGAAATAGTGACAGTCTCCCTGGGCTGAGGAAGACTGTGGTGCTCCCTTGGAAAGAGCCAGTCCAGTTCAATGCAAGATTGCAGGCAAATATAGCCCATCTTTAGTGAATGCCTGAGTTGCAAGGGAAGGAGCAAGGACCACGGACGGAAAAGCTTGCGATTGGCCCGAGATGCTTGACTTCCTGGCCAGTCCTCAGAACACCTGGGAGCAGAGCCCACAACGAGAATTGCTGATTGGCTCTGTGATCTCTTCCAGCAAAGTGTGTGTCAGCGCTTTTAGTCATGATATTTATTCTGATTTAAGTAAAAATTTTTTTTAAAGATTTTATTTATTCATTTGAGACACAGAGATACACTGAGAGAGAGCATGAGCAGGGGGAGAAGCAGAGGGAGAGGGAGAAGGAGAAGCAGGTTCCCCGCTGAGCCAGGAGCCCAACATGGGGCTCAATCCCAGAACCCTGGGATCATGGCCTGAGCCGAAGGCTCAGCAAACTCTTTCATGGGTACGGAGGGCTCCTCCACTGACCTGGGGGTATGCTTAACCATCTGAGCCACCCAGGAGCCCCTGATTTTTTTAAAAGTAAAATTAAAGGAGAGCACAGAAATTTTCAATAGAACATCCCCAAGATTCAAATTCAATAGATAATGTTCTGCTTTTTTTTTTTTAATAGGTCTCCCTAGCATAGCAACCTTGTCCCCACTGCCCCATTTCTTCTCTACAGAGGCAAGAAATGTTTCTAGTTTCTTCTGTATCCTTATAGAGATAAATTATGCATTTCCCAGCACATACATGTATATATCCCCCCCTTTTTTTACATAAATGGAAGCATACCTTAGACCCCTTATGCACCTAGTTTTAAATTTTTTACTTAGCATATTTTAGAGATCTTTCCATATCATAAAGAAGCAACTTCCTTGTTCTTTTTTACCAGTAGTATCCCACTGGGTGGCCATCTTCTGGTTACTTTAACCAGTCTCCTGTGGATGCACATTCAGGTGGCGTATGATTTTTTTTGACCTAAAGTTTTTATGACCCTTGAAGATGACAGAAGTTGAGAAGGTCTGTAACTTCTCCCAGAGGAAAGTTTCTGACCTAAGAATTCTCTACCTGGCCAAATTGCAGATCCCCGACAAAGGCAACAGAAAGACATTTTCTTCAGACCTGCAAAAACTCAGAAATGATGCTTCTCTTTGAGCACAAAGTTACTCAGGGGAGCACTCCAGCAAACAGAAAAAAAAAAAATCTCCCTCTGGCCCCCCCCCCCATGCTCTCTGCCTCGCTCACTCTCACTCACTCTATCTCAAATAAATAAATAAATAAAATCTTTAAAAAAATCCAAATGAAGAACTTCAGTAAAACAAAGAGCGGTTTAGAATAAACAGAGGGGACCAATGACTGAAAACAGTACACTCTGGTTAATGTGGCTGTGTAGCTCAATGAAAATGTTAACAAATGATCCTTTAAAATGAAGGTGCGGGCGCCTGGGTGGCTCAGTCGTTAAGCAGCTGCCTTTGGTTCTGGTCATGATCCCAGAGTCCTGGGATTGAGTCCCACATTGGGCTCCCCGCTCAGCGGGAAGCCTGCTTCTCCATCTCCCACTCCCCCTGCTTGTGTTCCTGCTCTCACTGTCTCTGTCTTTGTCTCTGTCAAATAAATAAAATCTTAAAAAAATAAATAAATAAAATGAAGGTGCACAATGCAAAACTAATCATGTTCCAGATGATTTCATCGAAGTCTTTGAGATGGTTTGCTAAAGCACATTCTCCAGAGATAATGTTTCATTCCTGGTGTTTATTTAATGCACACTCACACATGGATGTGTCACAATATTTTAAAAATAATTGGCTCAAGACCCCCCTCCCCCCACACACCAGTCTCGACCCTGTGGCTTCTGAGCGCATTTAAGATGAAGTCCAGAGATCTGACCATGACTTTATGGGCCATTTCGCAAATGGCTTATCTCACTGTTGTCCCCCTCCCCTGTGACCTGCCGACATCCAGCCTGTACTGCTCCCCCCCCCCACCCCGGGAAGGGTGCCCCACGGTCCAGGGTGCATGCGCAGCAGCCTGCTCACTTGTCTCTGGCCCAGAGCTGGCCCTAAGCTGACCCCGCGTGCTGGCTGTCGGACGGCCGCACGCCACCTCCCCCGGCCAGCGGCCTGGAGACCGAGGCAGCTGCAAAATGGGGAGCTGGGGGCGGTTCGGGCACCCACGACAGAGGTGGTAGCGTCCCGGGGAGGCGGCTGGTTCCCCAGGGCTGCTGCATGCCCCGGGGCCCGCCGCCCGCCAGGCTTGCCTACCTCCCCTGGTGGCCGCGACCCCGGGTGACCCCGGGCGGCCGAGTCCCTGTCCCACCTCCCCGCGCTTCCAGGCGGCGGAGAATGCCTCCTTCCCCGCATCCCCACACCCCTGCGCTCCCCGCAACCCCGGTCCTCACACCTCCCCTCATCCCTGCACCTACTGCTGAGCCTGCCTCACTCTAGCCGGGTCCCCGCATCCAGAGTCCCTTGCACCTCCGCGCTCCCTGGGGCAGAGCCGCAAACCCTGGTTGCTGTGTCCCGCATGCCCTCGCTTTCTTCACACTCCCACAGCCGGGCATCCCCACGTCCCCGACACACACCCCAGCCCGACACACATCCCCTGCATGCCATGGCGGGTGGGCAGTAGACCATTTCAGGCTTGCTCCTTCTATCCCCCTCTCTTTTAAAAATATTGCTTTATTGAGGTGTAATTCACATATCATACAATTCACCCATATAAAGTGTGGGGCTTAGCGCATTGGCAAAGATCTGCAACCAGCCACACATCACTGTAGAGCATTTCATCATCTGGAAGAGAAGCCCCATACTCATTAGCAGTCAGTCCCCATTTCTCCTCAAGCCATCCTCCAACTCTAGCCAACTACTGATTTGGTCTCTGTCCCGATAAAGTTGCTTATTCTAGACCTTTGCTAGAAAGAGAATCAAACAGCATGTGGTCCTTTGTGACTGGCTCCTTTTCCTTAGTGTAATGTTTTCGAGGTTCATCCGTGTTGCAGGATGTACTAGTACTTCATTTATTTAAAAGTACATATATTGCGTATAATAAATACATGTTATATGTATCATAAATAGACTTTGTTCTTTAGAGCAGTTTTTGGTTCACAGCAAAGCTGAGCAGAAGATGGAGAGATTTCTTGTATATCCCCTACCTCCACACATGCATGGCCTTATTATCAACACGCTCCACTAAATTAAATATTTAAAACAATTGATGATCCTACAATGATACCCGAAGTCCACAGTTTCACTCTGCGTGTTGTACCTTGTATGGGTTTGGACAAATGTATACTGACATGTACAGTCATTATGTTATCATGCAGAGTAGTTGCATTGTCCTAAAAATCCTCTGTGCTCTGCCCGTTATCTCTCCAAACCTCCCAACCCCTGGTAACCCCTGATCTCTTTACTGTCTCTATATAGTTTCCAGAATGTCATCTATCTGGATGCATACAGTATGTGGTCTTTTCAGACTGGCTTCTTTCGCTAGTAATTTCATTAGTAGTCTGAAATCTACCAATGAATGTACTGAATCTACTAAATCTTTCATTAGTAATGTAAATTTAAGTTTCCTGAATGTTTTTTCATGACTCATGTGTCTTTTCATGGCTTGGTAGCTCGTTTATTTTTAGCACTGAATAATATCCCATTATTTGGATGTACCATAGTTTATTTATCCATTCACCTACCGAAGGACATCTTCAGGTTCTTCAAGGTTACTTTCAAGCTCTGGCAATAGTGGATAAAGCTGTAAAAAACATCCATGTGCAGGTTTTTGTGTGGATATAAGTTTTAAACTCCTCTGGATAAATACCAAGGAGTATGATTGCTGGATTGTATGTTAAGAATATGTTTAGTTTTATAAGACACCGTCAAACTGTCTTCAAAGGTACCTGTACCATTTTGCATCCCCACCAGCAATGAATGAGTGTTCCTGTTTCTCCACATGTTTGCCAACATTTGGTATTGATAGTGTTCCAGATTTTGGCCATTAAATATGTGTGTAGTGGTATCTTATTGTTTTAATTTGCAAGCCCCTGATGACAAATGATGTGGAAAATCTTTTCACATGCTTATTTGCCACCCATATATCTTTTTTTGTGAGGTGTCTGTTAAGATCTTGGCTCATTTTTTTTAATTGGGTTGTTTATTTTCTTATTGAACTTTGACAATTTTGCATTTGATCTTAGCCAAAAGGCCGAGAAGTGATAAGCTTTGACAATT